ATAGAGTTCGAATGGCCACGGATCGATCGGTATGTCGATAAAGGCATAGTACTCCAGACGTGATTAATCCCTGGACGGATAATTGGCGATGCCTTGTTCTTTGCCCAATTCCGGATTTCCGCTTTTTCGTGCTCTAGAAACCGTTAGGGAACCATTTACTAAATGGTTTAATTATACTTACTCATCAGATCTGCGATTACCTGGGTATATGCTACCTGGGAAGTAACACTACGTAGCGATTGCATCTTCTCGATAACAGGGCTATAATCCTTTCCTACCGCACGATGGATTGAACGCGTAAAGTGTACGCTACAGTAAATTACTGTACTCTGGATATGCGTACGCCAATCCATCTGGGGGGCGAGTACCTCGAGGAAGCGCCCGAGTCCTAGTAACTATTAGCGTAATATTAGGCAGGCATTAGGATACTGTTATAGTAACGATACCGCTCGCCTGTTTACTACTCATATCCATCATCACAGCTGAGATACCCTCTTGGTGGATATGTCGGAACCGTAAAGGCTTGCCAGTAGCGGAATCCAAAGTTCGAGAAAGCCGTTCAAAGGTCTGCTGATATATTGCCGTTGTTTCACCAAAGACAAGAACTCTCGCGAGCGGAACGTCTAAATACTATTAGTCTAATGGTATACTACCGGTTGAATACTGTTACAGTTACTTACTATGGTTTACACCCTCATCCCATACACCAAAGAGAATCTCGTTAAGATCCTTTTGATATATACGCTTAAACGACATATCAACCTCAAAGTAGTTGATCTCGTGAAAGAGTGCGCCTTGCTTTTTGAAAAAGCAAATTACCATAATACTATCGCCCTCGCGAAAGCATGCCTGGATATATTGCTAGTATTAAGTAAGTAACTAATATAATAACGTTCCAGAACCGTTACGATAAGGGTTGATAATAGTTACCTCGTCAGGTGGGCCTTGCTTCTGGAGTTCCCACTCGTGGAGGCAACCTGCGAATTGAGTACCAGCAGGATAACGTAGGAGACGTTGTCGAGTAATTTCCGCGGCGATACGATCACTATTCGCAAGTGTAGTATCAAGTTGGGCAAGGCAAGTAAGCCCACGATTCTTGAGAAACTCCTGGACAAGTGTTGTCTGCTCAAAGGTAACTGTATAATATTAGCGAAACGTTAGCGTAACGATAGAATACTATTTACCAAATGTTAATTGCGTAATTGAACATCTCGAGATCAATTGCCGTATCTCGGTAATAATAGACGTAGGAGTCCGAGATGGTGGCGGCGGCGCGTGAGAGTGCTTTCCAGTTGATATAAAGAGTACACAGGGATATGTATCTAGATCGTCTGGAATAAACTTCTGGAATATAACCGAACAAGACGTATGGACAAGAATACCAGGACCGGTACCAGGATGCAAAAAGTCTGGAATAATACCCTATTAGTATAATAACAGTATCCTAACAGTTCGGTACTATTTACTTACTACACGTCTCTTTCTTCGACTTCGTTGGTTCGACCTGGAAGCAGTGTGGAGTAACGGTATGCTGTTCCCTCGTATGGAATAGAGAATATAAATAATCTCCGTTAACTTGATCGGAAAAGGATACAGGCTGAAAGAAATGGTCGTGCTTATCACTACGATTCCAGTAACGGTTAGAGCACCTGATATATGGATCGCGCATACCGCTGGCCTCCTAGAGTCTATTAATACGAAACCGTTACCCTATCATTACGTTAACAGTACTTACATTGACCGTCGCAAATCTGCCAAATACTGGTTTACAGGAATCACGAAATGCTTTACAAGCAGTTTGAGTCGAAAATTTCCGTCGTATACCGTAGAAGGTTCTAAATCGTTAATTAGTAAAAATTTGAAATGGTTATAAACCATTTTCTTATATACTTCAAGGCATTCCGTTTCCATAGATCGGGCTCGTTATACTCGGCGTTTCCTTTAGCATAATCGGCCTGCTCGATCCAGAAATTGTCGGGTATTTCATAGTGCGCCATATCTAGAACGTTAGTCAAACGGTTCCCTATTATTACCCTAATATTGTATAAATACTTACGACTCAGCCGATCGTTAAGATAGGTACAGTGCTTTAGCCCACTACACGTATACGTATATTTTTTGCACGGTATACCACCCTCCTTCCGCCCGAGAAGAAGACACTTCGTACTTGATCTCCCATTCGGTTGGGACCTGCTATACTGGACCTAATAATCGGAAGGCGTTAGGGAACCGTTACGCTAACAGTATATAAACAATAGATCCTTACATCGATGTCTTCGACCTTTGAACCCGCCCTTAGGTCGACTAGATAGCCGTGCCCCATAGATGAGCTTTTCGGATAAGATGGAAGTGCGCCAACGTAGTCCAGTGATCCAATTGTTATTGGCTTACTCTTTGCTTTCGTAACATAGATTGTTGGATCTGGAATCTCTTCGACTTCACTCTCTCCCGCCTGCCGCTCTTGATTATAAAACTGGTCCTCGAGTTCACTCCACTCTTTACTAATCTCGTCGAGATTAATCTCTTCATCATCGTCCTCAACGTTACCAAACCAGTCGTCAAACATTTGAGAACCGGCTGGTAAGGTAGCTTTCTCCCAAGTCCACCGACTCTCGTAGGTACTTGGCGAAGAGCCTGATGGGACGTCTGATAAATCAATACTTGGAATCAGGCGAGACATATTCGGGGTAATTTGAGGAGCCATCTATTAATTATCTTAGAAACGATATACTAACGGTATAGTAACAGTATAATAACAGTAGATATATACTTACTGTTGTCGAGGGAGTAAATTGTAGACAAGTACAAGATAGATTCGGTAAATATAGAGTAAATAGTAGTGAACTATTATCGTAAGAGTAGGTAGATAGTTTGCAGATGGTTCGATAGAAGTAGATGTAGAGGAAGAAGAAAAACATGACCTGCACTCGTAATTTAAACTATGCACTCGTTCTATCTTGGCATGCGTTTTGAATGCTTAGTCAGGAGTGCGTGGAACCTCAGAACGAGTGCGCGTCAGCGCCGCGC